ATTTAATAAAAATAATTAATATAAGCTTTTTAGGTTTCTTTTTAGAAATATATTTCTTAGAAATATAAAAGAATATATTACTAGAAATAAACTTAACTAAAATAGCTTTTATTTTCTTATATTTCTTAATTTTCTTATATATAGCTTTAATTTACTAGTTATTAATAATATAATATTAATAAAAGAATTATTATAAAATATATATATATTCTAATTTTAAAGCTTTAGTAAAAGCTTTTTATTTGATTTATATTTAATATTTTAAAAACTAATATTATCTTTTATAAATACTTATAAAAAAAAGTATAGAATTCCTAAAATATTTAACTTTATTTAATAACCAGACGGCAAACTGGCTGCTGTTTTCGACAGGTTTAGTCGCTGCTTTCTATAACTAACTTGCCAAAATCTCGTATTACTCTAGTACTCGCATATCTTATAGCCAAGGCAGTACGGTAATAGGGACCCCTGCTATAGGAATACCAAAAAAAGCAAATAGGTCAAGTTATTATTCGGAAAACCCACTTTCTCTTATCTTATCCTCGTTTAATATTTTCTGAGAAGAGGGGAGCAGAAAATGGCTATCTATTATTCCCTAGGTAACTTAAGATAGCAGTTATCCTATCTATATCTTCGTTTATCCTCTCTCCCTTTCTCTACTATCTTCTTTCTTCTAAACCTCTTATACTCAATTATTACTGTCCCTTACTCTACCTCTCTCCTATTCCTTTACTAGCCGCTATTACTTGGGTAGCAGGCTCCTTCTTTATATCCTTTACCTTATTTCTTTATTTTTAATTGCCCTTACTATTATCTTCTTTAGTTAATTCAATTAATATACGTTATTACTAATAACTAATACCAAGCTCTGCCTCCTCTAATAGTAATAGATTAGATATTGAGAACTACTTTAATATAGGAGATAAGTAAGAGGGAACTAATACTAAGACCGAGCCGACTAATATTAATATTAATATAGATAAAGATAACGAGGCAAACTTGCCAGATTTAGAATAGCTTACTAGAAAGAAAAATACCTAGCTACTAAAGTATTACCTTAACTAAGAGAATAACTTTAATAAATCCGAAAATAAAAATAAGAACTATAGTAATAATAGCCTTCTTTTCCTAGATATAATTAAGGGAAATTTCTATTAGTAAATATTTTATTCTTTTTTTATATACTATTTTCTATTATTAATTTATTAATTTAATACTCTTTATAAATATTATAAATATATATAAAAGGATCTTACTTAAATAATATAGGCTATTTCTTATTATATTTTCAAGGCCTTTTTTAAATAAATATTAAATTAATATTAAGAAAAGAATAAAAAGAGACTTATAAGTATTTAGTTAGCTAGTATATTCGAGATATATTAAAAAGCCTTTCGACTTATATATAAATAAATAATTAGAGAGAAAATTAAAGAAAAAATAAATTATTATATATATTAGATAAATAATATTTCTTATTTATTTACTTAATTCAAACCGAATTATTATAAATAAAAGCTAATAAAATATTTATTATAAGTTCTTAAAAAGCTAGTAAAAAAGTATTATTTATTAATAAAGAAATATAATAATATTATTATATATATTAAGGATCTTATAAGTATTTTATAAATTAACTTAATTATAATAAAATAAAAATATATATATAGCCGGTAATAAATCTAAACTAGCCTCTTTTACTAGCTAGCTATATTTTTTATAAATTAATCTTTAGTATTCTTAAAGTTTTATTATAATAATATTATAATAAACTTATTATAAAACCCTAATAGTAGGCTTTATTAAATTCTAATTAAGTTTATATATAAGTTTATAAAGAAATATCTCGATATAAAAGAGATATAAGTTTAATCTTAGGCCTTATTTCGTTTTTCTACTATTTTTCTTTCTTATTTATTCTAGCCAAAATATATAACTTATATAAAAGCTAGAAATATATTTAATTTGTTTCTAATATTTAGTTTATATATTACCTTTTTAGGTTTTATTTTTACTAATAATATATTCTTGGCTCCGAGTTTTATATTAGCTAAAAAAATTAATAAGTTAGATATTTTATCTAGTTATAAATAGCTACTTTTATATTTTAAACTAAAAATAATTAATATTCCCGTTTTTTATAAGTTTATTAAGATATCTTATAGCTAAGAGATTTTACTTAACTAGCTATTACTATATATAATTCTTTTAAAATAAATAAAGTAGTTTAATATATTTACTAGGTTTTTATAAATTATATATTTATACTACTTTTAATATAATATAAATAATACTTTTAACTAAAGTAATATATATTATATGGCTTCTTTTTTATAATTCTATTTCTATTTACTATATAATATATTAATTATAAACTAATAAGTAATATAAATAATATATTCTAGAATATAATAATATAATATACTAAAATTAATACCTTTATTAAATACTATTTCTATTAGATAATTATTACTAATATATAAGTTATTATTTCCGGCTATAAATCTTAGTATAACCTAATACGAGTAGCTTATTAGATAACTTACTAAATTAATTCTAACTAGCTATAAGAACTTATATTTAAAAAATCTCTATTTATTAATTAAGATCCCGTTATTTACTATTTTATTATAAAGCAGAAAAAGTAGAAGTACTACTTCTAGGATATAGTAATATAATAGCCAGAATACCGCATTATTAGCCAGATAATCTTTAATACTAGATAATAGCTAAGAGCTATATTTTTCAAGTATATTTAAAAGTATTAGAATCTGAAATACCCGATTAATAAGATTAAGTAATAGCTTTCTGGGCTTACGAGCCTACTAATATAAGTCTGTGTTTTTAGGGTATTTCGCTTAGAAACTAGCCCCTATAGCTATTTTGGACGCTTTAAATTTATATTCAGAATTGGATTTAAAGGCTTTTAAAATTCAATCTGGCTTCTTATATTATACTTGCTTATGTTATATAAGATCTTAATTTATAGTTAATAAGAAAATGTGAAGTAAAGTGGGTGGCTTTGGTTTTCTAATACCTGAAAATATTACTAAAAACACGGACTTTTGTTCGTAGGCTCGTTAAGCTTAGCCAGGATATAAAGATTACTTTAGATTAGAATAATAAAATACTTCTATTCTAAAAGTACTTAACTAAAATAGTAATAATACTTCCGGATATAACTATTAAAAAAGAGTTTTATTACTATAATACGGCTATTAATATAATTACTATCTATTATTACTTCTAGAAAAAGAAAGCTACTATTATATTATATAAAAGATTATTAATATAATAGACGAATCTAATACTATTAAAAAAGATTAGCCTCTAGCTAGTAGCCGTCTAGGCCGAGAAGTAAGTATTAAATAATATTATATTATTAGTATTTACTAAAAAGAGAATTATTATCTATTTCCTCTATTTAAGAAAATAGAGCTTATTATTTAAAAAGCATATTTATAAGTTTACTAGTTCGGGAAACTTAATAAAATACTTTAAATAGAAGTATTTGGCCTATATTAAAAAAGGAAATCGGTTCTAATATAAGATCTATTAAATAGAACTATAATATAAGTAGTATTTCTAGAATTATATAAAGAGTATTTATAGAACTGTTTCCTAGTACTTAAATAATATACCCAAGAATATATAATTATAGAGCTTATATTTATCTCGTCTTTTCTTTTCTTTTTTGCCCTTTCTAGATTAATATACTACTCTTATAATATACTTCCTAAATAAACTTATAACCAGTTATATAATTATAGGATTATTTACTTATTTCGAGTAACTTTCTTTAGGGCAAGACTAAATTAGACAGGGCTCTAGTAATTATATAAGAATAAAAGGCTATTCTAGAACAGAGCTAGTTTATAGGCTACTAATATAACTTAGTCTTATAGATTTTCTTTTGCTTATAGTAAGCTTAAGGCCTATCTAGATTAATTAAAGGCTATAAAAGATATTATATATTAGTATTTATTAGACTTTAATATTATTATTCTATATTCTTAATTTGGTATAATAGTTACTATATATTAGACTAGCGAAATCGCTATAAGTAAGACATATTATAATAGGAGAAATTAATTAAGATAGGGTAGTATAGCTATTATTTCTTATACTAGCTCTATATTTAGAATTTATTATAATTTTAGTATTTTTCTAGTTTATTTTCAGGATCCTATAAGTTCTTAAGACTTATAAGGGTTCCAGAATACTTGCTTCTAGAACTATAGGAGGTCCTAGAAGCGGTAGTTCCAGGATATACTATAATCCCGGGATTCTTACTAGTTCCAGAAGCCTATAAGTAAAATATTATATATATAGCTAAGGCTTATTAATTGTATTTTGAGTTTATATAATAGATTTATTTTATTATTATATAGGCAGATTCCCGCTATAGTTCCTTTATATTAATTATTTATTTATACTAACTACTTCTTTCTAGTATTAGTTCTATAGTACTAATATCTTATTTATACCTGTAATTTTAGGATACTAATAATCTCTTAGTACTAATTATTTCTTTATACTAGTTATATATTTGTATTAATTATTCCGGAGTATAAATGGTTCTATAGTATTAGTAAGTGGCTTGTACTAGTAATTTAATAATACTATTAACTTCTTGGTACCAATTATGTATTTGTACCAACTATTACAACGTGGGAATCTTCTTGCTTCCTAATACCTATAATCACGTGACTATGGCCGCTTTTGATCGGGGTACCTCAGGCCCGGCTTAGCTTTGGCTCAGGTCTGGTTACCCTATTTATGCGACGCAATATAGCTAGGACTTATATATTATAACTTTACTTGTAATTATTCGGCCGTTTGATCGACTAATTGCTTGGCTAATTACTTAACCTCGGCTAAATAGCGTTCTTGGCTTTTTCTAAAGACTTAATAAATAACGTTGTTTTATAAAAGCTCTCTTTTATAAGAATCCTATGAGGTCTGCAACACTGCTCTTCTGTTTCTGGTTTTTATAATAAGGCCATCTTCTGTGGTCGGTAATTACTCTATATTAGTCACGCTGTATTTCGTTGCTAGCTCGCTTGGCAAAGACTCCCGAACAATTGAACTTCCATAGGCAAGTGATTGCTGGCGCTAACTATATTCCACTCCATAGAAAAGGAGAGACCTGCAAGTCTAAGAGCTGAATCTCCTTAGGACTTGACTCACGTACACGATATAGTCTGCCCATGCCGACTTCCTATCCTCTAAACAAAGTAACTGGGCTGACCCAGTCTGCTTCAACCATGTAATGCAGTATTCAGTGCTATGTGCTGACGTTGAAAGAGTGCTTGTTGCGAAGTAACTTGGGTCGGAGCATGCTAACTCGAGTTTGGAGCGTCTTACGATCCAGGTTCAAAGGAGGACAAGGAAATTAATAAGGCCAGATCCGTGGCAGAGTGCCCGACTTATTTCTGGCCGGCAGGCAGCTCGTGGTACAGAGGAAGAGTCTCAAGTTCCGAGAGCACACCTTCTGTCCCCAACTCTCCCCTATCATTTGGGTATTTCCTTTCCTCGCCTCCCGTATTATCATGTCGAGCTTTTGCTCCTCTCTTCCCACGTCTGCGGAAGAAGAAAAATATCCCCAAAATGACAGCGATGACCACAATCGGAATTGTGACACTGATGGCAATTTTTGCTCCGCTCGACAGGCCGCTAGAATAGTTTGGTTTCAAGCTAGAAGTAGGTGTGGAGCCACCGCTGGAAGTACTAGTTGCAGTCGATGAACTTGCTGTATTTGCGGACGTTGCCGGAATAGTTGAAGAACTTGAAGTCATCGTCTTCGGAGGTTCCGTGAAGGCCGCTAAATCACTATTCTGCCACCAAACAGGTATCCCATCACCCCAGACAGTGTACGCGCTACTCGTAATTGTGGTTGTGGCGGGGGTTCCTAGCACGAGAACATTGTCCGACACACGGTTGGAGACGTAGACGAGCTCAGCGCCTGTCGAGACTGTCGTAATGCATTGATGTCCAGCATTTCCAAAGTATTCGTACCCACTGGCTGGATTTTAGCTTTAGTTGAAAGGGAGAGTCGTAAGAAATGGCAGAGGTGCTTACGATGGACAGCAAAGGACTGCAGTAGTGTCCGGGCCGAGAGAGAATAGGACTTCGGCTCCCAAAGGGGTGTCGGCAGCGTTTGTGAAATAGGATGTGAAGGTCGTTGCGTGAGCCCATGCATCTGGACATTGAGCTGGACTGTCTGGAGGAAGCAATTATGAAGACGACCAGATAAGTTAGGTGTAGATCACTAACAATAGTATTGATTCCAATCGTCATTATTAGCCAAGATGGTATAGGTCGAGCTGTAACTCGACGGGTAACAAGACGAATCGTAATAATATGTGTCGGCATGTCCGAAATACATACCATCATTAAAGGTCAACGTCGAGAGACATGAGGACGGCGGTGTAAAGATAGTTGTTAGAGGCCCGCGGTTGTAGCTTGCGATGACCGTTGAATCGGTGATGGTCCCCGCAGAAAGAGCAGAAAACATCGTGAAATGATGATGAAAAGGCTTCAATAGACTTGGCAAGGGATCTTAAGGTGGGCCCTTAACACTGTAACAATCATTTGGCCCAAATGATTGTTACAGTATGATTTGGCCCCCAAAAGTCTGCGCCGCAATACAGCGGGTAATCCTTGACAAGTTACCACATTGGCTGTGGCCTCGCCTGTTGAAACCTTTGGCGGAGTGTGGGCAAGCCGGCGTCTAAGCACGTCGTTCCTGCTTTTCACATGACTACACATAAGATAGCACAAGGCAATACTCTTTCTATGAACTTTCTTCTAGCAGTAACGCCTTTCTTCACGCGCGGTATTAGTGTTGGATAACCTCCCTTACGCCTTACGTGTTCTACTTTAATTAGTGTGAAAATCAACTTAACGAGTAAAGGGTATAGCCAAGGTAGGCGAGGCCCATTATTACAGGGATCCAGAATCAGCCCCTTCTAATTTTAGCTGAAAGGATTGACCCCTTCACCATTCAGAAAGCTTAATTTCGCTTCCTATACAACGAGTGTGGCAGACTTCGTGGTATCCTGGTTATGATCCGCATGGGAACATTTAAGGAATCGTGGCATAAGAAGCGAAACTTAGCTCAGAGGGTCTTAGGGGCAACCCTTCGAGTGGCAGTCAAGGAGCCCGAACAGGTCGCCTCATTTGCGCAGCCAGGATTAGTTTTGCTCACCCACAGCTCAGGCTAAAGCAGCGGTAGCTCAGGTCCAAAAACGGAAAAGAAAAGTGCTCATATAGAGATTCCCCTGGTGAATTACCTGTTCCCTAGTACAAATATTTCTGTGGTACCAGCAAGTGGTTTGTACTAGTAGTTTAATAGCACTATTAGCTTCTTGGCACCAATCAGATTATAGCACCAACTATATATTAGTACTAATAAGTCTTTTAGTACTAAACTAACTTTTGTACTAACTATTTCCTGGTACAAGAGTTATATATTTACATGATCTTAATCTGGTTTCGTAATTCTTTAAGCCTTACTTATTATGAATATTAGGTAGTTATTACTATTAAAATAATACTCCTGGTTATAATAATTATAGATAGTAGGCCAGGAGTTAATATTTGAATAGTATTATCTAAAGATAAATAATTTGTAATTATAATTATCTAGATAATATTAATAATACTATTAATTTTAAAAGAATAATCTTATTTATATATACTAGATTATATAATAAGGTTTTCATTTTATATATAAAATAGTATTTATTTATTTCTATAATAGTTTCTGCAAATATTATACTAAATAATAATAAGGCAAAGAGAAAGAAAATATTAATTAGGAAAGCTTATTAGTTAGAGAAGTATTCTGAATTTGAGATAACTCTATTTATTTACTAGTAAGACAAAATTATTATATACTAGTTAATAGACTACGAGTCTTAATAGCTAGTAATAGCAGAAATAATATATATAATTTATAAATCAAATCTATAACTAATAGATAATATCTAGGAATTTGTATACCTAGTCCCAAAAAGGTTATTATTATACTATTTTGAGAAGTAGATTTATTAGAGGTATTTAAGATAAAGCATTTGCTATTAGTTATCTTATAGAGGTATTATAATAAAGCAGAATAAAAATAAGGTGGGTTACTTATAGTTACGGGATAAAACGGATATAACTTAGGAAATATATACTAAAATTCAATATATATATACTTTTACTATATTATAAGATTTAATTCTAATACTTTATTACTTTACTTATTTAATTATATAAGTAAATCTTATATAAAGAAGTCTTTCCCGTTAAATGCCATATAAAAACCAAATAATATATATAAATTAAGTAATATATAAAACCTAAGAAATATATAAATATTAAGTAATATATAGAAGCCAAGTAATATATAAAACCCAAAACATATATAAATACCAAATATTATATAGAAACCAAGTAGTATATAAAAACCAAGTATTATATAGAAACCAAGTAATATATAGAAACCAAATAATATATAGAAACCAAGTAGTATATAGAAGCCAAGTAGTATATAGAAACCAAGAAGTATATAAAAACCAAGAAGTATATAAATACCAAGTATTATATAGAAACCAAGTAGTATATAGAAACCAAATAATATATAAAAACCAAATAGTATATAGAAACCAAGTAATATATAGAAACTAAAATAAGTAAGGGTTATCTCGATTTTTAAATAGTTTTTATTAAGATAAATCCCTTAATACCTGGCCTTTTAAATAATCTCTAGCTAGAGTAATTTGGGTTTTAATATAGATTTTCAGTTTACTCAAAGTTTTACTAGGCTAAATTCATATATTTTAAGCCAAAACACTTCGAATTATATTATTATAATTCGAACTACTTTGGCTTGAAATATAAATAAGGTATATATATAATCTTATAATATATTAAGGTATCTTACTTTAGATATAATTACTTTGAGATATATTATTTCAAACCAATATAGTTATAATTATAGTACTCTAAATCTAAAATTAAAATAGAGTTTCGAAAAGCTTACTTACTAGGTAATTCATTATACTATAATTTTTATATAATTCCGGAGTTACCTGTCCTATATTTAAGAGGCCGAGTTAGGTTCTAAGGTATTAGTATTAAGAATAGGCAAAATTCGGCTCCCTAACACTAGTATATCTATTTGGAAATAGAGTAAGATTTGGCTTCTTAATACTGGTATATCTATTATAATAGTACTTAAGGAATACCGGTATTAAAAAGGAAATAGAAATTAGCTCTCTAATATTAGTATATCCGTTTCGCTAGTACTTAACGAATACTAGTATTTAGATTAGAGCAAGATTTGGCTACCTAATACTAGTATTAAAAGGAAGTAAAAAGTGGCTTATTAATATTAGCGCATTTATTTTACTAGTACTTAATAAATACTAGTATTAGGAATAGAGCAAAATTTGGTACCTGACCCTAATATATTTATTTAGTAAATATTAGGAAGTACTAGTAAAACGAATTTCTAGCCTTAGGCCAAAATATTTTTTAGTATTAATAATTTAGCTAAAAAAGTTAAAATATTATTAGTTTTATATCTTAGATTAAAATATTTCGGATATTTAATAATTTAACTAAAAAGATTAAAATATTAACTTAAATCTATTTTATTAAAGATATTTTTAATATTAATAATTAGACCTAAAAAATTAAAATATTAACTTAGTTTTATTTTAGTAAGAGAAAAATCCTTAGAGAAATTTCCTAAGTAATTTCTCTTAAAATTCTAAGGCTTTTATAAGAATTCTTTTATAATATTTATAAACTTAAAAGTATTTTCTTAGAATTTATAAGGTTCTAGGAAAATTCTCCTAAGAGAATTCTCTTATAATATTTATAATTCTAAGATTATTCTCTCAAGATTTATAAGGTTTTATAAGCTATAATATTTAAAGATACTTATTTTAGGAGTAATATTATAAGAGTTATAAAAGATATATATTATAATTTTATGAGTTTAATAATAAATATAATATATATTAATAAAGAAATTATTTAAAAAGCAAGAATCTGGCCTTTAAATAAGGATATATATTAGTATATATATGACTTGGAAATTAAACCTTTATAATATAAGAGCTTTTTATTAATAATATTTTTAGAAGTTATAAAATATTATAATTCTAATAATATATAACTAAGATACTTATATTATATATATATATATACCGGTATTTCATATATAGAATATAGGAGTTAGCTTTTACTAGTTTATAATTATTCTTTTCCTATATTTATTATCTTAATATTACTAGTTCTAAATACCTTTATTATATAAGAAAAGGGTTATAAAATCATATATATATTATAATTAAATAAGAAAACATAAATATAATTATATTAATAAGGTTCTAGACTTTTTTTTAATTATTTATATTACCTAAATATTAATTAAAGCAAAATATATAAGAGTAAAAGTAGCTATTATTACCTTTAAATATATATCTCTTTATTCTAAGATAAAAACACAAAGGTAAATATTAATTAAAAGCTAGTAAGGGTTTTATGATTTCTGAAATTATAAAACCCTTATCTAGTCTTATAAAAAAATAAGAACTAAGCAGAATTATATATTATAAGAACAAGTAGTATTATAAAGAAGTTTATAAATTATAGCCTATTTTTAGATCTAAAAGAGATTTAAATCTAGCTCTTTTTACTTGAATTTAAGGGAATTAATTCGGGCCTTCTATTACTTAATTAAGTTCTTTCTTTAATTAAGATTTTAAAATAATTAAGGGTTCAAATACGGCTTCCTATTATCTTAATTTAAAAGGAATTAATTTAGGCTCCTTATTATATAATTAAATTATAGGTATAGAATTAGCTTTAATACTCCTATAAGTAATTAATACGAAAGTCCTTAAAGATAATAACTAGAATAGAGAGTCTTTAATAAAATACGGCCTAGAATAATAAATAATTCTTAATTGCCTTAGGCTTAATACTAGAAATATATTAAAACTAACTTAAGTAAAATACTTTTTAGTATTAATAAATAATATAAATATTAAATATAATAATAAGAGAAAAAGAAAAAAGAGAAAAAACAAGAGAAAAAATACTTTAATTAAGAAGACTTATAAATTAGGAGACCTTAATAATATTAATATAACTCTAATTATTTATAAGTATAATTAATATATTATATATAAATCTAGGAACTATATATTATGGCTATTATTTATAGCAGAAATAATAAATAAAAGCAATTACTTATTTAAAATATATAACTAATACTAATATTTATATAATAAATTACTTATTTTTTTCTAAAAAATATATTACCAGAAAATATTAAAAAGCGCTTTTCTAAATATATAAAAGAGAAAAAATTGCCTTAATAAAATAAGAGAAGAAGAATAATAAATAATAAATAAATTACTTGTAATTAAATAAATAACTAGTAGTTTTATAAAAGGGAAATAGTTTAGACTAAAGTTATAAATATTAGTAAATAAAGTTATATCGAATTCTCTTTAAGCTCTCTTTTAAATAATTAAAAGCAGACTATTTTAGGA